TTTCCGCCGTTATTTAGCTAAACCAGAGCAGAAAGCGCCCAACATGTGATTGTGGGCTTCGTTAATGTCTGCCAAGCGGCTCAATTGGCTATCACGCTTTTCTGGGGTCGTAGTGTTCAAAGTTCTCACGTAGCCACCCAAATTTTGCAGTGAACATCTGCGCTATATACCGCCTAGCTTAGTGTTTGCCACTCAAGTGAACAATATCTTTCATGCTGTCTATCATAACATTTTAGTAATGCTGACTGACAAAATAAGGCAGGTAGTGGGAATTCTCCTACCACTGTTGTGTGCTGTATGTCGTAGCTTATGCAAGTTGTCCAATTGATGTTTTATCATTTTACTAGTGATTTAGGTATTTGGGTATTATTCGTTTCCTTAGAAACAATACATCTATATGTATATATCTATTAAAATCTATTAATCGCCTGTTTAGATCATCCCGGTAGTATGTCCCGCTTCTAAACTTCTGAGCACCAGTTCAGTACTCAATGCTGGATCGCCCGAGTTTTCTAGCATCCTGGAGGAGCGTATTCTGGGGCAAACTGTCCAAACGAATCTGGAAGAAACTGGCCGTGTCCTAAGCATTGGTGACGGAATCGCTCGTGTCTATGGATTAAAGAATATCCAGGCGGAAGAGATGGTGGAGTTCTCTTCCGGATTGAAGGTAGCCATCGGTTGATTTGATTCCTACCGTTCAGGGTATGGCACTTAACTTGGAACCGGACAATGTTGGTGTTGTGGTGTTTGGTAATGATAAACTGATTAAAGAAGGTGATGTGGTCAAACGGGCTGGAGCTATTGTTGATGTCCCCGTTGGTGAAGAACTCCTGGGTCGTGTGGTTGATGCCCTTGGCAACCCTATTGATGGAAAAGGAGCAATTAATACCAAATCCCGTCAGCGGGTGGGTGTAAAAGCTCCGGGTATTATTCCTCGTATCTCCGTACGCGAGCCTATGCAGACTGGTATCAAAGCAGTCGACAGTCTGGTCCCTATTGGTCGTGGTCAGCGGGAGCTCATTATTGGTGATCGCCAGGTGAGTTCTTTTACATTGGGTGCTCATGTTCCAGACCGGTAAAACTGCCATTGCTGTGGACACGATTATTAATCAAAAACGGTTTAACGATGCTGCGGAAGAGAAGAAAAAGTTATACTGTATCTACGTTGCTATCGGTCAAAAGAGGTCTACCGTTGCGCAGCTGGTCAAGCGACTCACCGATGCGGACGCCATGAAATACACCATTGTGGTATCTGCAACCGCCTCAGACGCTGCCCCACTTCAATACTTGGCTCCATATTCTGGGTGTGCTATGGGTGAATATTTTCGAGATAGCGGAAAGCATGCTTTAATCATCTATGATGATTTGTCTAAGCAAGCAGTCGCCTATCGTCAGATGTCACTGTTGCTTCGACGGCCACCCGGTAGAGAGGCTTACCCTGGTGATGTGTTTTACCTCCATTCAAGATTGCTTGAACGAGCGGCTAAAATGAATGATGCGTACGGCGGAGGTTCTCTGACTGCTTTGCCAGTTATTGAAACTCAAGTAAGTGAGTGGTCTTCTTTGATGTGCCTCTCCTAGGCTGGTGATGTCTCTGCCTATATCCCAACCAACGTGATCTCAATTACGGATGGTCAAATATTCCTCGAAACCGAGTTGTTCCACAAAGGTATCCGGCCAGCTATTAACGTTGGCTTGTCGGTCAGCCGTGTAGGCTCCGCTGCCCAGACGAAAGCTATGAAACAGGTTGCTGGCAGGATGAAACTAGAACTTGCGCAATATCGAGAAGTAGCTGCTTTTGCACAGTTTGGATCCGATTTGGATGCTTCTACACAGCTACTTCTCAATCGAGGCGTGCGACTTACAGAACTGTTGAAACAAGGACAGTATGG